AAATGTCTTTCTAGACCTTCCAACAGTCTGATTTTCTCCCAAATGCTTTACAATGAGATGGTAATTAAATAAGAACATAGAAGTGAGGAAGGAGTCGAAATACTTCCCAAATTAAATAGCTTAATTTCCATCCCCTAAGGTTTGTATTTAATTCTTCATTATTCATTCAGTTTATAAGATAAATGATCAGCTGAAAGAGACCCTTCTCACATTTAGAGAAAGACCTTCTCTTCTTCTTTGCCTGCTTCATTCAGAAATGAATTCTGATTCATTCAGAAATGGTTTTGAACATTTACTTTATGTCAGGCACTGATCTAGGTCCTAGAGAAAGAGAGTGAGGTTCCTACTCTCCAAAAGCTCTTCTTGTATTAGTGAAAAAAGCTATACACAAACCAATAAACAGGTATGCCACTGGATATAATTACATGCCATATAGTCATGAAAGGGGATGATTTATTTGAGAATGGCCAGAGGCTGCTTTAGACTGGATGGTTAGGGAAGGTGGGAACACTAAGCTGATTTGAAAAGACAAGAAGGAGCCAGTCATTAGTAGCAGAACATTCCAGGGAGTGAGTAGAACATTCCAGGCAAGGAACAGCTTGTGCTTAAATTTGTGTCTAGGAGTGTGGAGGAAATCAAAGGAACTTCCAAGGATAGAAAGCCTGGCACAACTGAGTCGCTGATAAGAATGACATGGGCAGCTATTGCCTTCTCTTCTGTCTCTAAAGCTCATCATCTCTCACTCCTATAAGCAGTGCAGGGACAGTGCCTTGATTTTACACAAAGCAATTACACCAAATTTACACAAAATTATTGCTTATTTGTGCAGTCGTATCTTCATCTGCCAGTCCAGTCTGGCCAGAGGTGACGGAAAAAAATTGCTAAGGTAAGACTGGGCTGATAGAACCCACCCGGGTCTTGAGACAAGAAGAGTAGGAACAATTGCAGGGAAGGATGGGAGTGAGAGAAAGAAGAGAATTCAAGTAAAATGCTGTTATTTGAAGAAACCTGGTTTAGTCTGATTCATTTCACATTTTTAAGACAGGGAATTCTACTGCTTTGATTTAGCAGATGGGAGGGAGAAGAGAAAACAGGAAGAACAGGAGAAAGGTGATTAAATTCATATGTAAACTCTGAAACATTTCATTATCAGTTTCCCCCAAAGTATGGACTTTTATGGCTATGTGCTGTTTATTTCTGGCACTGCAGCAACGAGTCAGTAGAACTTTCCCTGCTGTTCTGTCCTGTTTCCTGGTACATGAACTTGCTCACTCCTCAGTAATCTAACTTTTGATTTTTCCCTTTGCTTCTTGCATGGGTATCTGTTCTATCTGCCTCCCACAAGACAAAGGAAGAATATAAACAGAGCAGAAATAAATGGGGCTTGAAAGTAGCTCATTATTTATGTATTGTTTGGCCTAACTTAGGAGAGGAGCTCAGTGGGAAATCAGGATTGTGCTTCTCTGTTTTGCACATCACCACTAAAGCCGGTGTTCACGGGTTTCTTCAGGGTTATTCCTAGGGGCCCCATGCGTAACCATCCCTTTGAAGGACTGTGTTTTGTCAAGAATAAGCAGAAGCAGGACTCTGTTTCTTACTAACACATGGAGCCCTATATTTAGAACCTGCTGGCATTATTTGCAGAATGGGCGGCAACAGACTGATTTGGTGCCCTTGGAACAAGGAAACTAATATGAGTTCGTAAGTTAGGGTGTTTACTCCTTTCTCTTTATCTCCGATGAGATAAACTACTTAAACACCACTCTGCTGTGTCTTTTCTTTGTACCATGATAAGAAACCGTGAGTGTGAGATACCAAGTAACAGAAATTACCTCAGGTGTGAGTTTTCCTGTTTAATGTGCTGGGACACTTCTGCAACAGTGAGGGATGCCAGTGGGCAATGGCGCAAAGCACCAGTGCTTACTGAATGGCCTCATTTAATCACATTGAACTTAAACTTGAGGGTGAGTATCTAAGATTAAGACCCTGGGAGATGCACAAGCTAAAGTGGATGGATGGCTCCTGGATGCTGAGCCAGGGGACCCCTAGGGACAGCCCGGTGTGTTTGCAAGAGCACTGTGGGGGATTTCTACAGAGGATGGAGGCAGGGTTTGATCAAGAAAAAATACATGACGTTTCTACCTTTTCATTTTAGTCTTGGTTTTTTTTTTCTTCCTGTGAACACTGTGCAGCTATTTGAGAAAAAAAATGTAGTTTTTTTTAATGATGAACTTTCTTTTCAAGAATATGCTGAATCAAACATTATTTTTAGATTAATTTAGTACAAGAGTAAATATTTTAATTCCTCTTGCTTGCCTCTCCCAATTGTTTGTTTTTTTTTATTACAAATATTTCAGATGAATAAAATGCCATATGCCAAAAATACAAGTCTCTCTTTTTATGAATGGGGGGAAAAAATCCCAAGGTGATGATGCGTATTAGAAAAGTCCATAGTTTTTCATTACCAACCACAGGAAGCAAAGCCTCATTTTTCCCTAACGTATGAAAAGAAATAAACAGATGTGTGAAAGAATCTTCCTGGGCAGTTACCTGTACTCATTGATTATCAACAACAGATGTCATGCTAATTTATTTGCAGGTTCCATTCAATAGCCTTCCTCTATCAAATCATGCATCTTTTAAAACACAAGCAAAACTTGTATGAACTGATCATGAAGATAAATGAAAAGACCACACCAGTCATCTTGGTCTCACCTCAAGAGATTAGGCTGGAGAAGACAAAGCAGAGAGTATTAACGTCTGCTTTAATTATGCTGTAGTTTGATTTGTCACATCAAGCATGTAATTATTTTGTAATTGAATCAGCCACTATGGAGGAAAGTATGGAGGTGCCGCAGAAAGTTAAAGAATTACCATATGATCCAGCAAGTCCTCTTCTAGGTATTTGTATGAATGAATGAAAAAACTAATGCAAAAATGTATCTAAAACTGAAGTTCACTGCAGCAATATTTACAAGAGCCAAGATACAAATAAGTATCCAGTGATAGGGGCGGACGAGAACCTCTTTATATGGATGTTAAACACCAAAGTCCATTTTCTTGCGTCTTATTTAATGCTGAAAGGCTGACTAATAAGCAAATAATGAAGTCACCCTGCAGGCTCTGACTTCAGCTACTCCTCTTAATGGCAACAGGTTTTCTCTGTCTGCCTTTTGTGGACATGCTCCCTGGGGCCTCCAGCAAATACAACAACATCACTGCAAAGTGAAGCTAAAAGCTGAAGAGCTGTTGAAACTGCTGAGATAAGAGGGGCTGTAAAAGCCTGTTAACAGCTCCTCATGTTTGCCCTCCTGTGATTTATAGCCAATTTATGACAGCCATTAATGGGAGATACCCTCCACTTATCCCAGAGACCAGTCAAGTCCTAGTTATTAAACACACTACCTTTTCTTCCCCAGAACAGCAGGTCCTTGTTTCAGTAAAAGCACTGCAAATACATATTCAAAAATGCAGATAAAAGCAGTCAGCAGCGGCAATTAATTTTATGGACCGGGGCTCAAGATCAATCCTTTTTAAGACTCTCACTCTTGAACGCATGTCACCTGTTCAGTCTCAATGGCGCTGGAGTAGAGGCATGAAAAGTACAACTAGCACCTTCCCTACCCCATCAGGTTCTTGAATCACAGTGATGAGAAAAATAAAAAAAACCCAGGCGGATGCAGACAGAAGCATTACTGAGACCCGACTTCCTTACACGCCATTTCACTTAAAGTCACAGTTTCCCAAATCCTCTCATTGATGGTAAGTAAGGAGTCACTGCACTGTCTACAAAGCCTGTGACCCTCTAGGCTAAGAGTGGGCTGGGATGGAGCATAACACTGCACACAGGGTCCTACCAAGACACTTTCGAAACCACAACACAAGGTGGTCCAGAAGTTACTTTTACACCATTAGTCCGCCATTTGCTAATCCAAGACCTTTATGTGGCTGATTTGTTATTTGATTAGTCTAATAACGTCTGAAACCACTCAATAAACACTAAAGTGATGTACAAATGTCAGTTTTGAACTCTAATTTGAACAGTTATCTATTGCAACATTTCTAACAAAGACATTGATAACAGAGAGAGGAGACGAGGCTGTTTATTACCAGGGAAAAAAAGAAACTCCTACTCTTCTTATCCTCCTTTCCAGATCAAAAAGCATCAGACATCATGGGAAATTATAAGAGGCTTTCTCAGATTCTGACAGACTCATTCTCATGGAAATGTGACCTTGTTGAGAAAGTATACATTTTTATACGATTCTGACATTTCCACCGACCTCTATCAGGGCAGTAATTCAAGATTTGTTATGGTGTGATAGAACCTTTTGAGTTAATTAATTTCTGCCTCTCTCTGACATTGTAATGGCTCCATTCATAACAACTCTCTGCTGTATGGTGCCAACGGAAACAGCTCATGGAAGGTTTATCATCCTAAAAAAATAATGGAAATCAAATATGAAGGTGGAATTCATGAACGATGCAGTTCCAAGAACTCCAAAGCCAAGTCACTGGCGTTGTGAGGAGCACTCTTCTTCCTGACCAGCCTGCCTATCTCAGTTTCACCCCCGAAATTCACAGCTGAATTTCCATCCTCAGCTTTCAGTCTTGTCTGACTTGGATTTCCATACCGAATCTTAATTTTTAAACATTTGGAAGTGCTTTTAACCGACAGCTCAAAGCAGGCCTTGCTCCCACCCCCTCCGGCAGACAGCCGCATCCTCGCAATACACCACAAAGCCACACCATGAATTGACATTTTCACAGTAGAAACCAGTTAAAGCTTTTAGCAAAGGGCATTGGAACCAAGCTTCTCATTTACCTTCTATAGTTTTAAACATCTGCTGTAATTTTCAGTGACCCCACTCAATGGCAAGGTCCCATCAGCCAGGGACAACTTGCCACGTACTTGAGCCCAGGCAAAAAGTTCTCCCTGCTCAGAGAGGCAACTTAACAGGGGTATGGAAAGTATTATAAAACCATGCAGAAATACTCACAGTTTGGGTTTGGCAAGCAGAGGTGGCGGCTCCTTAGTGGGTGAGAGCAGGACAGCTGGAGCAGGAAGAGATTTATTAGTGTTAGCTTTGCCGTTAATCAGTCCATTTACTCCATGGCTGGGATGGACGCCGTTGGCTTCCCTCTCAGCAGAACTGAACTGCATTTGAAGGGCTGCCCTGCTCAGTCCTAACTCAGGGCTGTTCACCTGCTGGATCTCAGCTGGTTTCTTTGATGCCAACTCAAAGGAGCTTGTTTCCAAGAGTGGAGGGGGAGGAGGCAAGTTTTGGAAGAGATCGTTGTTGGCGTCTCCCACTGAGTCATAGCTACAGTTTTCAGTGTTGGCTAAGGAAAAAGAAGAGGAGGAGAGAGTAATAAGATGCCACAGCTATTTTCATATTGTCCCGGAGCATCTGAGCTTCCCCTGTGCTCTGTTAAGATGTTAAAGAAGAGATGATTGTACTATCTCAGCGATGTGGCAGCTAAGTCACTTTGGAGGACTGGATCCTTCCACGCTTGTTTTCAGTGGCTGCCACTGCTTCATTTCCTGAAGTGCCCACATGTGGGGAAACCACCACCAATTCATTAACAAATTCCAAACAAAAGTTAAAGATAGAAGTTGGGGATTGGGGGGAGGGGAACCCAACACAAATAAGACCAACTAATAGTGCTTTGTCCCCTCTCAGTTTAACCTGTGGGTCAAACTCCATCCCATTTGTTCTCCACTGACATTAGCTCAAGCTATAAATGTTGTCTGTGGTAGGCCATGGACATTCATCCTTTTAAAGTTAAGTAAACAAAGCTCAGTGGGGCGTAGGGGATGTACTCAAAAATGCTCACTGAGGTACACTGGAAGCCCCAAAGTATTTGATTGTGTTTGGCCTATAGCAGATTTATCCCAGATTAAAATGGAAAATACTGCATGCCAGTTTATGCCACACTGACTTTGAAAGTCCAGAGTTTGGCCCAGACTGCTGGAGCCATTTGGTGTGGCCATTTTCAAGCCAACTCAGACTCCAAACACTGGGATCCCTTCTGCTCTGTGGCTCTAATCAAGCTTCTGGAGTTTCCTTTTCATCGTAAAGGACCATTTGTCTCAACAATTTCCCCAGGAAGGTCAACTTTTCATTTCTGAAGATGCAAAAAGCATTTCCAGTTCCCACTGCACCTCCCTCAGCTGTGTTGCTTGTGCCTCTGCTGCCACCTAGCACCACTTCCTGACTCTAGGGAAGGAATCCCAGGGATCCCCCTCCCCTCGCCTAGCTGAGGCAGCCCACACCCCATGTACGGACACCTGCTGTGTGTGCTGTGTGCCAGAGAGATATTTTTAAAATTCCATAAAAGAAGTCACAGAGGTGAGGCTATACAAATAAAATCAAAGCCAGTCAGAATGTCTGTGGGTGTCCTGGCAGTGGGGTGGGATGGTAGCTCAGCTGGCACAGCGCGAACCCATATCCCAGAATCACATGCAAAGCTGTAAATCAACACTACCTCAACAAAAGAATACAAAAAAAAAAAAAAACAACAACAACAACAACAAAAAAAACCCAGTCAGTAATCGCAGACAATAGTCAATGAAAGTTAAAATAAAGGAAATAACTGTTCTGTTGCATTCCTGAGAGGTTTTGAGTAAAAAGAAAAAAAAAATCCAATGGTTTTGAATATTTGGTTGTAATAATATATTGCTTTAGTTTCTAAGAATTATAATCTACCACCAATGAAATCTGATCTCTAAGATCTTTACAGTTCTTCTGAGTCATAGTGGGTTTACCTTGCGTGACTTTTTCCATAACGGGTACAACAATGTCCAGCTCTCTGGACATTGTCCAGTTCTCTGCAGAGGCCTGCTGCGGCCCTGCTGAAATTAAGGGTCCTGATTCAGAGGTAGTTTCTACGTGAGCCTGATTCTGGGTTCACAGGAAGATGTTAGGACACCAGTTCCCAAGTTTCCAAGAGCGAGACTGTGTGATTGACAAACCAACACCTTGCCTGTGTGTTCAGATGCCAGTGCTATACATCATCTTTTGGACTTTTGTCACTACTTCCACGCCCCCTTTCTCCAAAGTCTTAGGCTTCCTGATGAAACGCTGTCTGGCTGACTCCTGGAGCAGCAGCGAGCATTCCTAAGGGCTGAGCTCTCCTCCTGGGACCTTGTGGTGAACCACACTAAGTAGCGGGGAACAGAATCCAGTCCACTTCTCACTCCTCACATACCTGATGTGACAAGCAGCTGGGCGGTACTGGTTACAGATCCATAATCATTTCTTGCCGAGCATGTAAAGATCCCCGCATCTTCAGGAAAAGTCTCTGCGATCACCAGGGTACAGATCTCCTCTAGAAGTGAATAGAATTCATCATATTGAAACCACAGCCACTTTGAAGAAGTCAAACTCTGCCTTTCTAAAACAAATAGGCAATGATTATCTTTACAAAAGTGTTCACAATACAATTGCCTCTTTATATTTAATTTAACTGCGCTCTCTAGAGATCTTTGGAGTCAGACCCTTTGAGACTTCAGGCAAGATCACTCTTGATCAGTTGGTTTCCTCATCTGATTCTGGGTTCACAGGATCAGCTCCCAAGTTAGGAAACCAGCTCCCAAGTTTCCAAGACCAAGACTGTGTGATTGATAAACCAACTCCTTGCCTGTGTGTTCAGGTACCAGTGCTATACATCATCTTTCGGACTTTTGTCACTACTTCCAAAAATACCCAGTGGTGTATCTGTGAAGATACAACAAGACGCTTGCCAAATGTGTACCATGGCCCTGGCACGTCACACATGCTCAGTGGACATCAGCTCCACTCTCTCCAGCCTAATTTACTTGTATGTTGAAGTTCTTTCAACTACAATGGAGGTGCCTCTTATTTTCGCTCAAGTGAAAAGCAAGTAGTAGGGGAAATCAACTTCTCTGAACTGCTGACAATGGGGTTAAGAATCGAATAGATAAATGTTTGACTTGCAGACAATTATTCTGGAAGCATTGTTACAGTGTGATTGTGTTATATAGTACTTTAAAAGTTCAGATCTAGAATCTGCTGAAAGAGCCAAAATAAGGTCCTGGGGCTACGTATCCTGCTACTTGTGACTTTGATTAACTTCTGTGAACCTCAACATCCCTATCTGTAAAATGGAGACAATGACAGAATCTACCTGACAGAGTTTCCATTAGTCCCAACTTATAAAAATAAGCACCACAGGGGTTAGGATGAAGATGAAATGACAACAGCTTAACAGCCAGGCCGCTCGTACTAGGCTCTAGGTATTATTAATAGCACTTACCCTACATCACTGCAGATTTAATCCTCTCAACCTTACAAGTTATGTTTATTATGTTTATTATCATTAGCCTATCTTCTAAGAGGAAACGGAAGCACAGGAACACTAATTGATTTGTCCAAGGTCACATAGCAAGTAAGTGGTAAGATGAGAATTGAAACCAAACTAAGTTCTAGATTCCACACTCCAAACCACCACTTATTTTTGTGCTGAGATACAGAGTGAGCTCGGGACGCTGCCTGGCACCTAGAAGATGCTGTAGCCATGAGTGTCAGCAATTCCTTTAGAGAGATGTTCTCTGGAGGGACTAACTCTGTTGTACCAGAGGAATACAGATGATTACATGAACAAATATTAAGAAATGTGATCTATTTCTGATTCCCACAAAGAGACTCCACTGGATGTCACATATTATGTGGGTATCGTAAGACCCCCACCCTGTAGATGTTTAGCAAGTGTGGTTGCCTTGACTTCCCTGTCCGCATCAGACCCCTTTGTAATGTGACCCTGCAGCTTCCTCCAGCTGGCAGAATTTATTTCCCCAACCCTAGAATCTGGGTTGGCCTTGCAAGTTAGCTTAACCTAGAATGCACTAGAACTGAAGTAGATGGTCAATTTAAAGGCCTATAATAGATAAAAAGGTTTTAATTGTAAGGTAGCATTTGTATCCACAGTTATATTTTTTTTAAATAAGTATTTAACCATAAGACATGTTTTTGCAACTAACTTGCTTATTTTCACTACTGATGGCTGAACTGACTACAATCTTTAATAACAGTTACAAAATTGAGGTTAGACTTCATTATCTTTGTATGCACAGCGATACGATACTAAGTTTTCTATACTAAGTTTTCTATGTCCTCTTAAAAATATTTAAGTACAGATACTACAAGTTTCTAGAAGCTAATAATGGGAGGAGATTCCAGATTTTGCCTCAAGTATCTTTTGCTTGTAACCTTCCATTAATAAATCCTTCAGCTAATCTGCTGTCTTCCCCTTGTTGCAGTTAGGAACAGTTTATTCTTGCTATTCTTCAAGAAAGATGGAAAATATTTGAGCAATTTCTTAACATTGATGGTACCTATCATAAACATTCTCACTTTAGTGTCAATCTGTGCAAAAGATTCCTATCTCAAGACACATTGTGGGAACTAGGAAAACACCATAAATACACGACATAACTATGAAACATAATGTGTATAAGTAATTTTGATATCTTTAACAATGTGCTCTCCATTTAAAAAGATGAAGAGAAAATAAAAGACTAGAGAATGGGCAAGATTCTGTAATGCTCTAACTTAATATTTATCCTACATTTATTCTCCTTATACACTCAAGGATGTAGTTATACATATCGTTTAAATTTGTACATTTCACTTAGCTCTGCATTAGGACTGGGATGTTTTCAGGGTAATTTATAAGACTGGGTATAATTTCTTGAATCTTTTAGGATAGTGTTTCCCAGATGTGTTAGATAGTTCAGTAGCACCTGGAACTCTTGTTAACCATGTTGGTAATCTAGTCCTATCAGAGATTCTGATGCAACAGACTTGGGTTGGGCTAAAGATTTTTCTAAAAATAAATATCTAGACCAGATTTATCTTTAGGAAGATATAGGAAACTTCATCCTGAAAACTAATTTCAAATACTCTTGATTGGAACCCATAGAAGGTAATGTTTTATGTCCAACTCAGTTATAGAGATATATACGCAAACATATATTAAAGTTGATACTGATATGTTGCCTGATGAAACAAATGTATTGATAAACCAGTCATACAGCATTACTGATACATGAAAGTACATAACTATTGTTTAAATAAAACGTTCACTAAATCGAAGGAAAACAAGAGAATAACAGAGCACTATGTATTCTCTTGGGTTGTGGTTTTTGTTTTTGCTTTTCGACAGTAATAAACACAATTTGGCTTCCCAGTTGAAGAGGGAGATAGAAATCATGGAGATAATTCAAGTTGGAATTTCAGATATGATTAATCACTTGCAAAGTTGAGAAGTGTCTGGAAAGGTACAGGGGTTGGGGCTTTTTTAAAATGAATACATGTGGTTATAGAATGAGTTAAAGGGTACTTAGCCAGAGAAGGGTAAATGAAACTTAGAACATTAAATGCTATAAGGAAGTTTAGAGCCACCACCCCAAATCTCTCATTTCTTAGGTGAGGTCCATAGTGATTCTCTCAAGGCCACAGCTGATGAAATTTAAAGCTAAAATGCTGAAAATATACATCATGCCTCCCACCAACACATTTTTGTCCCCTCAAAACACAGAGCTTCTCTAGGTGTCCTGTGTTTGTTTCTAGTTCAATACACTAAGAAGCCAAAATGAAATAATTTAAGATTTTCCAGATTCTGAAGAGTCTCATTACTCAAATAATTCACTAGAAATTCATTTGCACAGGGAGATGGATTTCGTGTCCCCTAGGTGTCCTCTGTGAACAGGACACACTGGCACAGGACATGAGACCAGTCAAACAGCCACTATAATACGGTCATGTTGATATCAGAAGGAACAGTCTAACTTGTGGGGCCACAAGCTGCCCTCTGAGAGACGGGTTTTCGGCAGATGGAGGTCACTTTGTTCCCTCTTAGCAGATGCTGCTGGGAGCTGTGAGGTCTTCCCAGGTTGCAGCAGCCCCTTGCTGCTTCCTGCCCAGAGCAACACTGCCTCCATCTTTGCACCGCCTCCGTAGGGTGTGTTGCTCTTAATCTTGCATCATTTTCACCTGGGGAAATGAGAGTTTCTGCAGACATGTAGAAAAATGTCCACTGCCAGTTGAACGTCAGAGACTGCTTTCACTGCAAACACAGCATTAATTCTGTGTCTGAAAACCGACATTTAAGAACAAGATTTTTATAAAAAAGTGATTTTGGAGTGATGATCTTAACTCTTAGAGTTCTTTCTCACATTATCACAACTTTGTGGGTTTCTTTAGTTGGACCTGAGCTTGTACAGGAAGTTGTGGCTTCTAATCCAGAGGTCCTCTTGACAATGCCATTTTATCATCTCTTTTGAGACTAAGTTAAAATTCCTTCATGTGTCACAAAGTCTAAGTAGCTAGGCGTCCACTTCCTTGCCAGTTCATTTTGCCCCTCTCAGCTTCTTTGCTGGGCTCCAGGCGCCCTGGTTCTCAGGCAGCCCCTGGAGAAGCGGCCTTCCTCACACGTCTCTGTCCTCGAGTGGAAGTTCTTGACCCTCTCCTACTTAGCCACGCATTTCTCCCTAAACATTACAACCTCAGAGAATCCTTTTTTTGTGGAGATTTGGTCAGCTCTGGCTCCCGCCTATGACTCAGGATGGCAAATTTCCCTTGGAAACATCTATCCCTATTATTATTATTTGTTGTGTAACTGGCTTGCTGGTCTCTGGTTCCCTCACACATTTGGCCTCTGTGAGGATAGACAATTTTTTTCTGTGTGTAGTTTGACCCTTGTATCACTTTCACAGAAGCCGCTTCATAAATATTGTTGAATAAACTTATGGACAGGAAGTAAACATACAGAATATATTCAGCTTTACAGAAGACTATTTTCTAACCAAATTCTAAGAAAGACTACATTTCCTTTGTGTGATTCAAATCTGAACAACATTCATTTTATATGAATGTTCAGGAATATTTCTATTGCATGAAATAAGATAGGGTCATGTATCCAATTCATGATGAATGAACATCTACAACCGATTACAAACTCACAATATATAAAAAGAAAATAGATTGACATGTTCTTTTATGAGAGATGTTCTTTACTATGTCTCAGTGATTTTTTTTTGTTTGTTTGACAAAATTTTAATTCAATTCTTTCGAGCCTGTTCAGTTTTTCTTGGAAAATTTATCTGAAAGGGACAATAGGTTTCCATTTTGTTGAGAGAGAGAAGCATCATACAGCTTGATTGGTTCAGACATTATAAAAATGAAGGAAGCCAGGAAGGAATGAGATGAACCAGGCAGTAATGCTAAGCTTTCATCTGGTAGCCTCGGACTTGAACAAAGAGCTTAAGGCAGCTGTAAAATACATTTTAGTGAGGAATGGAAATCAGG